GAAACTCATTCTATGAAGCTCTCTATGTACTGTTGTTGTGCTAATCCGAAGGTCAATTAAGTTTGGAGGTCTTTAGCTATTGACTCTGCAGACAGTTGGAGACTTTTGCACACTGTGAGTTTTAGCTGACCCTGCTCTGTCATTTTATATGGCCATCCACATCATGGGTGAGTTAAATAACCACTATCAGTTGACTGTGGAATATTTAGTAGCAAGGACATTTCATGGATGGACTTATTGCACAGGTGCAAACCTATCACAGTACCACACTTGAATTCACTGAGCTCCTGAGAGCAGCACATTCTTTCACAAATGTTTGTAGAAGCAGTCTGCATGCCTAGGTGACTGATTTTTGGCACCTGTGGCCATAGAGGTGATTGGAAGACCCAAATCCAATGATTTTTAGTGTATCTGTAGTATAGCGTGTGTTGCTGCTGCTTTAAGTTGACCATGATACCATGATAGTAAGTATTTTAAGTTACACAAAGCATATAAAGATTCACATAAAAATACATGGAAAAACAAGGAAAATCTATGATATATACATATATATATATATATATATATATATATATATATATATATATATATATATATATATATATATATTTTTTTTTTTTTTTTTATTATTATTTTTGTGTATATATGTGTGTGTGTGTGTGTATTGCTGCTGTAAGTTGACCATGATATTTAAGCTTTATTTCTGAATTGGTACAATTTTTTTTTCTATGAACAGCATTTCTAAAAAGTCAATTATCTATCTATCTATCTATCTATCTATCTATCTATATCTATCTATCTTTCTTTCTTAGAAAATTATTCCTATCTCTTTCATTGATCTTTTCTAAATACCCATAGAAAGTGTGTAATGTGCAGATCCCTATACAGAGTTAGCTTTGTCCTTAGGGTATGATAAATGCATAAAGGGGATTATGATCCTGCTCACTCAATCATAACCAAACATAAGGTGTTTGTTAGGAATTACTTTCAACATGATCCCTCCAAGGACAATTAAAATGAAGTCAAAGATAATAGTGGATAGTGGTTTGGCTTTCAAAAAATAAAAAAGCAAAACAAGTCAGGATAAAATTCTCACAGAGGAAAATAAGCTCAGTGGAGTTATATAAGCCTGCTTCTTAGTATTTCATGATATATCCAAGCCATCCTTTGTAATTCAAGCAATTTGCAGGTGACGGATATCTGGCACCATGTCTGTGATATAATTTTGTGCTAGGAAATATAATTTGTTAAGAGAAAAATGAAATAAAATAGCACTGAATAGAAAGAATACCACTACAACCTACAAGGAAAGGTGCCAGCTTTGCTATATGCCAAGTAAATTGGAGCACAACACTAGCAGTACTACATCATATTTGATGCTGATAATAAGTCTGAGATTTTATCTTAGTAGCAGTTTTCTCAGGTAAAAATATACAACTCTGTATTTGTGTGATGTATTCAGAATTTGAAAGTCTTTCAATTGTTGTCAGAAGGATGCAAGGTTTAGGGAATCACACTTGTTATAAAAAGTACAAGGCTCATGTGCGGCATCCCAAGATGGCGGATGTGTGAAGGGTGAGCTCTGCTGACCCTCTTACTGCAAAGGCCTCCTGACACCCTTCAGTAGCAGCCACAGACCCAGGAGTGTTCTCACCCATATCAGGACATACCCAGGCACATGCATGGGCAAAACTGGGTGGTGGAAGCCACCTACACCGCTTCCTCTGGATCTGAGGCCTTCCATGCTGGATTGCTTCTTCACTAGGCCTGCATCCCCTGCCTTGAGTAGTTGCGGAGGCCCAAGTGAATGCTCCTAAGAGTCCACTGACATGGCAGGGATTGACACAGATGCTCCTGCTGCCTTACTTCCTTTGCCTGTGCCCCCCACTCTGACAACGGATATTCTGGAAGACAAATTGCAAGTATGTTTACATAGTATCACCCACACTATTTCTGCTGTAATTGGGAAATTGTCCTAGGAGTTCAGGGGGGAGATTACTCAATTGGGAGATCGCATAGACCACCTTGAATCAAAGGCTGACAAATTGGTGCAATATGTGCATGTCCTGGAGGAGGATAACGCAGATTTGAAACATTCCATGTCCCAGTTACAGCTCCAGCAGGAGGACCTGGAAAACAGGGAGTGCCCCCAGAATATTCGTATTTGTGAAATATTTGCACTTCTGAAGCGGTCCCTGACTCCCAACTTAAACGTCACCTGCTGTCTCTGTTTACCACGATGGCACACAAAGTCCCAGATGTTGATTGGCATATGGACCTGGCCCATAGATCAGTAGGCCCGAGGCCTCCTGAGGGGACTAGGCCCAGAGACGTTATTATTCGTTTCCATTACTTTGACAGCAAAGAAGCTTTGATCGCCTCTACTTGCATCAAGACCTCCCTGGAATTTGATGGAGACAAGCTTCAGATTTTCAGTAATCTATCCCCCATTACTTTGGCAAAGAGATGTGTCTTAAAGCTGGTTACTACTCATCTCCATCAGCACCGGATTGCTTATCAGTGGGGATTTCCCTTTAAGCTTGTTGTCTCCAAAGATGATTCCTACGTTTTCCTACGTGATCTCCCTGAAGCGGACTCCTCCTTTAAACAGTTGGGACTCCCTCCCTTTCCAGAAGAGGCCTTTTTGTAACCTCCTATGCCATCTTGGTCTTCTGCGACTCCACGCAAGATCTGGACACCCAGTAAACCCGGGAGGAAGAGGTTTCCAACGGTCTTGACTTCCTTGCTCGGAGGGCCTCACTACCTGACTCTTCCAGTTATCAGGTTTCCCGCCCTGCTAAATGAGCTTTTATGCTCCCCATTAGAAATTGTCTATTATCATTTGATGTCCTGATTACATCTGTTAAATGGTTATCTGAGGTAGGCACCTGTCATTTAGGGTCAGCTGCCGTGTTTCCCCCTTGTGCATCAGGCTTCCAGCCCTGATGACTTGGGATATCGCCGATATTCCAGGTACATATCTTTGATGATATCTTTGTTTCTGGCCATAGTCTCTGTGGCCTCTGCTCTTTGTGATACATTTTTTTGCACTAGGCCTGTTGCCATGATAATCACCTGGTTTTCTGTTTCTGTTGTTTTCAGTTTTGTATCATCAATGATAACTTCTCTGTATGCTCAGGTTACGCAGCAGCTATACCCTTTGCTGTTTCATGATAGCTTTAAGGCTGTCGTTATATATTATCAGAGGCCTTAATTCAATCCAAAAGATGTGGATGGCTTTGAAGGAGTTCAGATCTTCAGGAACAGATATTATATTCATTCAGGAAACCCATTTCAAACAAGTGGCTCTTTTCGATTTGCCTCCAAGAGCTTTCTACAATTCTACTCGGGCTTTGATCCCTCTGGGAAAGCTGGCGTAGCTATCCTGATCCGGAAAAACTGCTCCCTGAGGGTCTCCTTCTCTCGAATTGACCCACGTGGTCGCTATGTATTGCTGGAATGTATGTATGCGGGTTTTCCACTTATACTGTTGAATTTGGATGCACACAACTCTGGTCAATTGCTATTTCTCTTTCAAACTTTAGACAAGTTATGCTTGATATCAGCTCCCTGTATGATCATTGGGGGTGACTTTAACTTAATTATGTCACCCCATAAGGTTAGACAAGTGCTCTTTGCCCCCACCCCAATGAAACGGCTATGTTCCTCCTCCACAGCTTTCCACAAACTGAGTTGGGAGCATCGTCTGTTCGATGCCTGGTGAGTCAAACATCCTCTCCATAGGCAGTTCACATTCTATTCTACTCCACATCTCATGTACTCTAGATTAGACCATTTTTTTTGTCACCGCCCCTCTGCTCCCTTTCCTGGTTTCTTCAGAGATTAACCCGATGACATGGTCGGACCATGCATCATTATCCCTTGACCTCGTTCTCCCTGAATCTACCACTAGGGTTTGCCACTGGCACTTTGACTAGAGTTTTCTGCGTTCGGAACCGCTTCGAGAGGATCTCTCTCAGGGTCTGGATGCTTACTTTCATTTCAATGTTGGTTCAGTATCTTCATCCTCTGCCCTATGGTTGGCCCACAAGGCCATCATTAGATGCCTCTGTATTTCCATGGGCGCTGGCGCCCGCTTGAAGGAGGCCTCTGTTTGCTCCAGGTAATCTCTTCTCCAGCAATTATCCACAGCAGAATGTCGTTTGTTAGATAGGCCGCCTCTGCCTTGGTTACAGAAAGTTTCCCATATACGCGATCAAATCAGGGCTGTTGACCTACACAAAACTGCTCAATCTCTGGCCTGGGCTATGCAAAAGTTTTACGAGTTCTCTAACAAACCACACTGCATCCCTTTCCTTACCAGGCCACTTACTTCAACCTGATGCCAAACCCACGAATGACCTGTGTGTTATGGTTATCATATTTGGGGAATACTATGAGAAGCTTTATAACTGTCTGGCCCCTGATGTTCACTCTCTCCTTCAGATGACTGCTTTTGACTCCTTTTTTTGAATTCTTGTCTTTGCCGCATTTATCACCTTCCGATCTTTTGGCTTTAAACTCGGAGATTTCCATTGAAGAGCTACTGGATGTTGTTAAACATCTCTCCCCACTCACTAGTCCCTGGGGCCAGACAGCCTACCCTACTCGTAATACAAAGCCTTCATTGGCATCCTAGTCCCTCATCTTCTGAATTTGTTTCAGGATCTGCTGAAGGGGTCTCCCCCGCACAATGACTTCACACACTCCTGAATTTCAGTGATCTCGACACCAGATAAGGACCTCTCTCTCCGAGATAATTATCATCCCATAGCTTTATTAAACTCTGACTACAAAATTTTCATGAAAATCCTGGCCAACAGGTTGGCCAAATGTATCTCCAAGCTTATACACAGAGACCAGGTGGGCTTTGTCCCAGCTAGACATGCAGCAAATAATACTAGGAGCACCATTGACTTGATTTAGTAATGGCTGCGATCAGCAACTTATGGTGGCTAGCAGTGACTTATGGCGGCGATCAGCAACTTATAGCAGGACTTCGAGACTGCGGCGGGCATTTGAGACTGGGGGGAACTGATTTGGTGTCACTGACATCCCCAGTGACACCAATTCAGTGATCAGTGCTAAAATAAAAGCACTGACATTGTACTAATGGCCCTGGGCAGGAAGGGGTTAACATGAGGGGCAATCAAAGGGTTAACTGTGTGATGGGAGTGTTTTACTAGGGGGGCGGGGGGGTGCTTCACTGTAAGCACACTGCTCTGGATGGTTGTGCTCAGCCATCCAGAGCAGTGTGCCCAAACTGACAGGGCGGAGGACTGTTGGTAAACAATGCAGCCCTCCTCCCTGTCGGTGATCGCTGGTAATCACCGGGCGTCGGCGGGTAATCACCGGCCAGGACCCTGTGATTGACACCCAGGGGCAGCGCGGGTAGGGCATGTACATGGCTCATGTGCGCCCCCTACCCAAAAATGCAAAATCATGTGTATATATATATATATATATATATATATATATATATATATATATATAGATATAGATAGATATGTATATACACACGATTTTGCGCACAGGGGCCGTCCTGTATATCTACTATAGAGCAGTCCTTAAGTAGTTAAAGTATAAAACCTCTGTATGTTTCTGCTATCAATGACAGTCCTCCTGTACAGTTTTTGAGAAGTTTCATAGCATTCCTTGTAAACCTATTCATATTCTTTACCCTTTGTACTTTGCCAGGGGAAATGTCAAAATGTCATATAAAAAAGTATTGCTACATCATTTCATTTTTACTAGTCCAACAAAATAGTTAATTATATTACTTCACAAAACCGTTTGTACTAGACATTCCCAGAACATGTCACTATTTTTGTTAGTAAAACGGAAGCAGAATTTTTCCACAAAACATTTTCTCACTTTTTTTCACTTAACTTTGTTGCTATCACATTGGAGACCAATAGCTCCTTATATAATAGCTTGTTGCTTTGGGAACTTTTTGAGATATCAGGGATCTATTTAACCCCTAAATTCTCCCCTGCACTGGAAATCACTGGTCTCCTTTCCTTCTACCAGGTGACGCTGGCCATGTGAGTTTTGGATGCGCATGTGGGACAACAAATCTCAGGAAACATGGCAAGGGGAAACATAAGGGAAAGGAATTATATTGGGGTCCTGGAAGCAATATGGCTTGTCAGATTTACACATACAGTAACTACTCCCAACTAAAACCAACGCATTCACTGATGTATTACATAGAACGATAGCAACAAAAGAGTTAAGTATTCACAAACCAGACAGACTGGTATTATGCATTTTATAGATACCACAGGATATTATTATCCTTTTGGTGAAACTAGATGCAGACCACATATATATATATATATATATATATATATATATATATATATAGATACTATTTTGCCAAAAGTATTGGGACACTCCTTTAAATCATTGGATTCAGTGATTCTGTGTGTCAATCACTTGCATGGCCACAAGTGTGAAAAATCAAGCCCCTAGGCATGCAGACTGCTTCTACAAACATTTGTGAAAGAATGGGTCGCTCTCCGGAACTCAATGAATTTAAGCGTGGTACTAGGTAGCCACCTGTGCCATAGGTTGCCACCTGTGCCATAAGTCCATCCGTGACATTTCCTTGCTGCTAAATATTCCAAAGTCAACTGTTAGTGGTATTATAACAAAGTGGAAGCAACTGGGGACAACAGCAACTCATAAAAACCACGTAATATGACAGAGCAGGGTCAGCGCATTCTTAAGCGCACAATGCGCAGAAGTTGCCAACTGTCTTCAGAGTCAATAGCTAAAGACCTCCAAACTTTATATGGGCTTCAGATTAGCACAACAATGTGTAGAGTGTTTCATGGAATGGGTTTCCATGGCCAAGCAGCTGCAGCCAAGCCTTACATCACCAAGTGCAATGCAAAGCATCGGATGCAGTAGTGTAAAGCACACCGTCACTGGACTCTAGAGTCCTGAGTCACCGCCACTGGACTCTAGAGCAGTGGAGATGTGTTCTCTGGAATTAAAAAACACACTTTTCCGTCTGTATATCTGATAGACTTGTCTGGGTTTGGTGGTTGTCAGGAGAACGGTATTTGCCTGACTGCATTGTATCAAGTGTAAAGTTTGGTGGAGGGGGGATTATGGTCTGGGGTTGTGTTTCAGGGGTTGGGCTTGGCCCCTTGGTTCCGGGGAAGGGAACTCTTAAGGTATCAGCATACCAAGGCATTTTGGACAATTTCATGTTCCCAACTTTGTGGGAACAGTTTGGGGATGGCCCCTTCCTGTTTCAACATGACTGCGCACCAGTGCACAAAGCAAGGTCCATAAAAACATGGATGAGTGAGTTTGGCATGGAGGAACTTCATTGGCCTGCACAGAGTCCTGACCTCAACCCAATAGAATACTTTTGGGATGAATTAGAGTGGAGACTGTGAGCCAGGCCTTCTGGTCCGACATCAGTGCCTGACCTCACAAATACACTTCTGGAAGAATGGTTAAACATTTCCATAGACACACTCCTAAGCCTAGAGGATAGCCTTCGCAGAAGGGTTAAAGCTGTTATAGCTGCAAAGGGCAGGCCAACTCAATATTAAACCCTACAGACTAAGACTGGGATGGCATTAAATTTCATGTGTGTGTAAAGGCAGTTAAAGAGTCTTTGGAGGGATGAAATCTTTAACCATTTATACAGGTCATATCGGAGACTAGCAGGCGGTGTGTACAGGTTTGCACAGCCCTTATAATCTAGGACTTGACAGTATTTCGGGGCTCCACCCGGGAAACAGGAGGCTCTCTACCAGGGGTGGACTGACCATTTGGAAACTTGGGCACTGCCCGAGGGCCCGGGGTCAGTAGGGGGCCCCATAAGATGCCCCTGGTACCTTTTTCATAGGCTTTTGTGAGTTTGGGCAAGGATACAGGGGTCCCATGATCCCCTATTGCCCAGGGCCCCATGAGTTGTCAGTCCGCCCCTGCTCCCTACCCAGAGGTCAGCACATGGGAGCAGGGAGCTGCAAGAAAGAGAGCTGAGAGAGAGGTGCAGAGTTGTACACAAGCACAGTGGTGCTGAGAGATAGTCTGAGGGAACAGAATAAAGACCTAGGTTTGAGGCATCAGCAGTGGCACTGTGCAAGGAAGCCAGGAGGCTTGATGGTGTTTTTTCTTTGTGTTTGAAATACTGGTGAAAACTCCTGTGAGGATAACCATTTTCTTGGAGCTTTTACTTTCTTTTTAAATAAAAGTCATCCTACAAGCCCTAAAAAGTATTTAATGGCTGGATTAAACTCACTGAGAAGCACTACACTTGGGTAAAACCTTACCCCCTGGAATATTACAATACATATTGTACAACCAGATCATTCACTTACTGACACCTTTTTGCAGACTACATGGTAGGTGAGCAACACAGCCTGATATAAGGCCTTCCCCAGCCTGTGATTGGACAACAAAGGATTATCAGCGCATTGATGGATCCTCACTCTTCTCTCTGCTTTAAGATTCTCCCAGATGTTAGATGGACAGACCAAGCAATGCTTTAGAGCATGCCTAACTTAAAGTGCTGTCCATCTCTTTTCTAATCTGAGTGCTACTATGGAGGGCATAAAAGGAGGCTGATACATAGAGAGATTCAGGTACTTTTCTCATGTGGATCACCAATATAAACATTTTAACTCACCTAAGCATACAGATTTTTTTTTTCAGTTTTTTTGACTAGCGGTTATTTGTCTATGCAATATATGTGTGTAATGTATTCTGCAGAACAGTTCAGTCTTTGATGGAAACTACGTTGCTTTCCATTTCAAAGAATTCCTGCATCTGGATGGTAAGATATGTATGGCCAGTTTTCTACTGGCAGCAAAGACACCTTTCACAGGTATGCCCTGAAAATGAGTCAGCTGGCGTTGAGGGACTGCAGTGGAAAGAAATGAACTAAGCAAATTTAAAAGCATTCTCCAGGAAGAAATAATAAATTGGCACTGCCAAAACATGAAAAAGATAGTCTCTTGATAGCAATACTTTGCCAACAGATAATGTGCCACAGATGCAAATCAGAAGTCTAACTACATCACCCTTTACTAGGCTCCTATCTCATTTGTTTTTTCTTTTACTGAAATTATATTCTCATGAATATGTTTATGCTCACTGTTTTGAAGTTAAGTGTCCAGAATAGAAGCCTTGAGAGATGATGAAAATTCTAAGATGTAATTTGTACAAGGATAAAAATGTCTTGTTCTAAAGACGCAATTGGAATCCTTACAGTTCTGTATTTTTGTTTAGCTTCCACTAAAGGTGATTGCTGGGATAGTGTTAGTATATCAACAGAACACTCCAGATGGTCGCACTTCTGTGGATGGCATTTTGGCAGCAATAATCCATTCATAAATCCCATTTGTGTAGCACTCTCTGGAAGAATAACTAAATGTACCAAAATAATTACAGAAAAGAAGCATTTCCTTTCTTGCAAATATGCATAAGTTCATAAAGGTATCTTTTCTTGCTGAATCTCTTTTTTGTAATACTATTAATATTGCCAGGCAATGACATGGGTTAATCTGCCTCATACATATTCTTCTTTGAACTTTAACTGACCTGGTGCTTTAAGCCATTCATATTTCTTATTTGTAGGTTTGCAGCCACTATGCAATAAGAAAGATTTATTTTCCTGTTTTCCATATACCAAGTATTAGATTAGTAAGACTTTTTAGCATTACTTGAGCTTTCCTTCTAATCAATAATAGTTAAAAAATTAATGACTAGCCCTGACCCTCTCATTCCTATTAGAGTAAAGTGCTTTATCAGCAGATCACTAGCTATTCACTGTATATTGGCATTTAAGAGCAAGAGGTTGTTGTGGGCCAAAGCTAGTTACCAATTCATTACATCATTGCAAATGATACTGCTTGCATCCATAAACTATTTTGCCTTTAAGGTAACTGTTTCATGTAAAGAGATTTCTAAGTATATCATTAGTCAATAGGATTTAAGGAATTTATAGAGCCAGTAAAGATGACTACAATATTCAAACTACTATTTAATAGTGTAAAAACTTAGTATAGAGCTTAGTATATGGCTATAGACATTATCAGAAATCCATGCATATATACCTAATACTACAAAGCTTTTTAAATATTACAGGATAGACAGGATAGGTATGCATACTTGAAACTCACGTTGCATAAATGTCTGTACAAAATATGCCCCAGATGCTTTTTATTACTGGTACATTAAATGGTTCCAGACAAAAATTAATATAAAACTTTATGTCCATAAATTTATATTAAAATTGTGCTAAGAAAATCTAATTATTAATTGTTATTAAAATCCTGTTACATTGTGTTGGTTACACTTCAACACCTTCCACATGAATTTCATGGATCTCACCGTATACTTGAATTTAAATACTATATATACCTGTTACTTCTCTGCAGTTATTATATCTCTTGCTTGGTGGGTGCATAAGCATCAA